CTCCGCGAGGGCGCCCGCCAGGGCGGAGGCCTCGGGCGCCCTGCTGGCCGCCGGCAGCCCGACGCCGGCGGGGCGCACGAGCCTGCCCTGCGCCGGGGCGCCTCGGCGGCACGGAGGGCGGCGGCGGCGCGCACAGGGAGGTCCTCCTCCTCCTCCTCCTCCTCCACCTCCTCCTCCTCCTCCTCCTCCTCCTCCTCCTCCTCTCCTCCTCCTCCTCCTCCCCTCCTCCTCCCTCCTCCTCCTCTCCTCCTCCTCCTCCTCCTCCTCCTCCCTCCTCCCTCCTCCTCCTCCTCCTCCTCCTCCTCCTCCTCCTCCTCCTCCCTTCTCTCGTCGTCGTTCTCCTCCTCCTCCACCTCCTCCTCCTCCTCCTCCTCCTCCTCCTTCTCCTCCTCCCTCCTCCCTCCTCCTCCTCCTCCCTCCTCCGCTCCTCCTCCTCCCTCCTCCCTCCTCCTCCTCCTCCTCCTCCCCTCCTCCTCCTCCTCCTCCTCCTCCTCCTCCTCCTCCTCCCTCCTCCTCCTCCTCCTCCTCCTCCTCCCCTCCTCCTCCCTCCTCCCTCCTCCCTCCTCCCTCCTCCCTCCTCCCTCCTCCCTCCTCCTCCTCCTCCCTCCTCCCTTCCCTCCTCCTCCTCCTCCTCCTCCTCCTCCTCTCCTCTCCTCCTCCTCCTCCTCCTCCTCCTCCCTTCTCCTCGTCGTCCTCCTCCTCCTCTCCTCCTCCTCCTCCTCCTCCTCCTCCTCCTCCTCCTCCTCCTCCTCCTCCTCCCTCCTCCCTCCTCTTGAGACGCTGAGACGCCGATGGCAATGATGCTCGTCGAACGCTGCCGCTTCCCCTGGGGGGGCCCTGTCGGGCTACCCTTGGGGAGTAAAACCAAATCCAGAAACAGATGGACCGACGTCCAGCAGAGCAGGAGGGAAGGAGAAGAAGAGGAACATCGCATCCACATCTCGAAAACATAACAACACCAGGAGGAGGGGACAGGGGTGAGATCCGAACGGCAGCGTGGATTGGCGGTGTGTGGCGACAGCAGAAAAAAGGGTGCAGGTCCTCGGGTCGTTTGATCTTGTGGCTGGGCCGCTCTCGGGCGGGCAACTCCTTGTCCCTCGAGCGGGCAGCGCCTGCGGCGACGCCGACAGCGATCCCGGTTCTAAATGAAGAGGAGCTGCTGCCTGTCATTGTCCCCGCCGTATCCGTGCCCGTCTCGATGATGCCGAGATCGGCGTCGTGGGCGGGGGGGGGGCATCCACCTGAAGTCGGCGATGCATCGCCGATAGCTCGGCGATGGGCCCCCGATAGCGAATCCGCGCGCTCCTGGGCGGGGCGAGCAAACGCGCCCCTGTCGGCGATGAATGGGCTACTGGGGGTCGATGCAGCTAGGGAGCCCACAGAAGACGTACGCGCCCAACTCTGTACATGAACACGGCCCCTTGACCCGCGAGACCGGCCGCGTGATACGAACATCCGCGCAATGCGAACTCTCGGAACCAGCATGGACTCGTACGTGTGCGTCCTCCTCTCGCTCCTGAGCAGCCCCCCCCCCCTTAGCCTCTACGGTCAGGAACTTCTGCTCAGCGCGTCGCGGCGGCGACCCCGGCGACGCGCTGCGCCTTGCCAGCGGACGGCGCGCCGCCCCGCTCCGTGGGGCGGGGCCCAGGAACCGCTCGGGGTGCCGCCGCCCGACGAGGGGCTGGGATGTGGCTAGCGCGCCGCGCCGGCGAGTGGTGGGCCAAATTGGCGGCGCGCACAAGGGGGTGGAGGTAGGGGGGAGGGCTTCTTAGAAGGAGGCTGCTTCTTAGAAGGCGCCAGCCTCACATCTGCAGACACGGCCCGCGCCTTCTAAGAAGCAGGGGTGCTTCTGAGAAGCCGTCACCCCTCCCCCCCCTCCTCCTCCTCCTCCTCCTCCTCCTCCTCCTCCTCCTCCTCCTCCTCCTCCTCCTCCTCCTCCTCCTCCTCCTCCTCCTCTCCTCCTCCCCCTCCTCCTCCTCCTCCTCCTCCTCCTCCTCCTCCCCTCCTCCCTCCTCCTCCTCCTCCCCCCCCTCCCCCCACCCCCCTCTGCGTGTGGCCGGCCCAAGCCGGCGACGCGACGCGCCATCCAGAAGAGCCCGACCGTGCCCCGCGAAGGATCCACGCCGTCCAGCTCGCGGGTCACCCCTCGGCCGGCCGCGGCGGCCGATCGGGGCGACCCGGGCGGCCCCGTCACGATCTCGGCGAGGTGCAGCCGCTGGAGGGCACCGCGAGGCTGGAATACCGACGAGAACCAGCGAGAACGCCCGCAACCCTCGAGCCTTGATGGGCGGTTGAGGGTCGCTGCGTTCCCACCGAGCCTATTCTACAGTCGCGGTGCTGCCAGAAGGAACGCGGCACAAGAAACGAAGGGGCTTTTCCGACCACGGGGGAACGCAAGGGCTTTCCAGCCACGGTTCGGTCCAGGCCGCAAACAGCTCCCGCGACAGAAATCCAAGGAACGACCCGAACCCCCGAGCCCTTTCCGAACCCAAAGCGGCCCTTATCTCAGCGTCTTCGCCGTATCCCCACCGCCCCCCACATCGTTGTCGCTGCGCGGACTCATGGCCGACGCCTGAAGCGCTAGTGCAGGCGGAAAAAATTGGAAAACCAATAGGTACCGATACCGCTACTCCCCAGATCTCTTCCTGGGTGCGTTCTGTCGAGCCGAATGCAACGGTGGCAGGGCCTCCGGAAAGGCCCAAAAAGGGGACAACGAGGAAAGGGTAGAGGCATGAGTACCTTCTCCTCCTCGGGAAAATTAAACTAGCCGGCCGCTCGGCGGTTGATCGGGAGTTTCTGTATATTGAAGAATGGGCGTGCGCTTATTGGCGAGAGGAACATGATCGAGAGGAGAATGAGCGTGAGGATCAGGAGGGCGAGGCTCGCGAGGGGGAGGATCAGGAGAGTGAGGGTCACGCGAGTGAGGATCAGGCGAGCGTGGAGCAGGAGGGTGAGGATGTGGAGAAGGAGAGCAGCAGGAGGGCCGGAAATGGCCCCTATAGAGGGCGCTGGGCGCCCGTGGGGCGATGTTGCGAGGATGTCTCGAGCGAGAGCGCCGGATGGGGGCACGCCTGGCGCAGCACCGGAAATGGTCCCTGCTGGGGGGTGCGCTGAGGGCCCGTGGGGCGATTTTGCGAGGATGTCTCGGGCGCGAGCGCCGGATGGGACGCGCCCAGTGCAGCGCCGGAAATGGTTCCTGGGGGGTGCGCTGGGAGGCGACTTTCTTGCGCCACGGGGGTCAGGATGACGTGAGCTCCACAGAGAACCTCCCTCAAATCTCCGCCGGCTTGGGCGAAGCAGCACGCCGCCTTGGGCGCAGCAAGCCCCCGTCGCTGCCCCGACCGCTCCTCCCCGGACCTCTCCTGGGGTGCGTTCTGACCAGAATTTCGAGGCGAATCCAGCGGTGGCGACGAGGGCCCCCCAGGAGGCCCAAAAAGAGGGGAAACGAGGAAAGGGAGAGGTATGGGTACCCTGAACTCCTCCGACCAGTAGGGAAGGGCGAGGAGAAATCTCAGGTTCGCCGACGATCAGGCGAAGCAGCACGCCGATCTGGGCAGAGCAGCCCCCCGTCGCTGCCCCCCGACCGTTCTGGACGCCCGAAATGGGTACGGAAATAATTGGCACAATGCCCAAAAACAAATGTTGCCCCAAACCGACAGCGGCCGCTGTTGGGCAGGCGGCCTCCTGTCTCGACTGGACACAGGCCGCGGCGGCGCGGACAGCGAGTCCTGCTCAGAATGAACAGGACTCGCTGTTGGGCATTGTACCCATTCTTTCTGTACCCATTTCGCGCGTGCAGAACCCTCTCCTCCGACTATTCCGGGAAGGGCGAGGACCAATCTCTCAACCTCAGCATCGCCGACGGCTGGGCGAAGCAGCGCGCCGACCTGGGCAGAGCAGCCCCCCGTCGCTGCCCCCCGGCACTCTGGAGGAGGAGGAGGAGGAGGAGGAGGAGGAGGAGGAGGAGGAGGAGGAGAAGAGGGGGAGGAGGAGGGAGGAGGAGGAGGAGGAGGAGGAGGAGGAGGAGGAGGAGAGGAGGGGAAGGAGGAGGAGGAGGAGGAGGAGAGGAGGAGGAGGAGAAGATGATGATGAGGAGGAGGAGGAGGAGGAGGAGGAGGAGGAGAGGAGGGGAAGGAGGAGGAGGAGGAGGAGGAGGAGGAGGAGGAGGAGGAGGAGGAGGGCGACCGTGGCCGCCGAGGCCCGGCGCCCAGCAGGGCGAGGGACTTCCGCGGCTTCGAGGCCCCGCGGCCGAGGGGCGCCGCGGGGCTCGGGTCGCGGGCGCTGCGGCGCGGCGGCGCCGCGGGGGGCAGCTGCAGCTGCGCGCCGTGGCCGTTGCGGGAGGGCACCAGGGGGACGTCGGCCTGGCACGGCGGAGAGGGGGGGCGAGGAGGAAGAGGAGGAGGAGGAGGAGGAGGAGGAGGAGGAGGAGGCGGAGGAGGAGGAGGAGGAGGAAAAGGCTGAGAGGAGGCCGTCGCGCGAGGGCGCCAGGGGGACGGCGGCCTCGCTCGGCGGAGGGGGGCAGCGGGGAGGAGGAAGAAGAGGCCCAGGGCAGACCCAAGACTCACAGACTTCGGTGGCAACTGATGGGAGCCTCCCATACTATCTTGTCGGCTTTTGCGGATCGACTGAATCGACGCGTATCGACGCTGAATCGACGCTAATCGACGCCAGTGGACGCTGAATCGGCGCTATCTCCTCGACTCCCAGACGCTAATCGACGCTAGTCGAAGCTAAATACATAATTGCGAGGGTGCACAAGACTCCCATGATTTGATTCCGAAGCAAACGATGTTGTAAACAACCCTCCCTCCAGGTTCCCTCGTCAAGGGCCCTCACTCAGATCCATGCTCACTGCGGCAAGAGCCCCGCTGGAAGACAATTGTTTGAAAAGCTTCAACTGCGCGAGAGCACCATTCCTGGGACTGCAACGCCGCGAATCAACATTACTGATGCGACCTGACGACCCTAAGCCACGCAAGAACACCTGGCCTGGGACGTCA